AAGCCCGGAAAATAAAGCGGAGTGATAATTGCAGATAGACAGATAATTGAGTCAAGTGAGCGGTAGTGACCGTAAATAAAGTACGTGAATCGTTGTGCATTATAGCGTGTGTTGAAGTTAAAGTGACTGTGGAAATTCTGTGTATTGCAAAGTTGTATTGAGAAGAAATAAACTAATTTTATTTAAGAAAGGATTTGTGTCGCTGAAGTTCCTCGGGAAGAGTTCATACCGGAAATTAACAAACGACCAGAGACGTAACAATTGTTTTTCATAAGAAAAATGCAGTGTAAATATACTTATATACAATATACAAAATTATATAATACTATTGTATATTATAATAAGTATGTAATAATATAAACATATGTTATTTATCTTTTTAGCAATAATAATATTATACTACATATTATGATTTATTATAATATTGTTACGTCTCCGTTTGTTAATTAACTTTCCGTAACTTTGTTCCGACAAAACTTAAGCGACATAAGTGCTTTCTTGATAAAACTGGTTTATTCTTTCCGAATATAACTTTACCGATACACTCAACTTCAACAATCGCGCTAAAACAACGCTATAACGAACTTCAACAATACTCTTACTGCAGATCAATTACTCACTGTCTACACACACATTACATTAATCTCCCGTCACGTTGTCACCCTCCTTTATGTACCAGTCTACCCTCCATCTAGTAAATACTAGAGCATTCGCCAAGATACGGGATAGTTCTAGAAACGTGGCGTCACACCAGTCATGTGACTCGCTGACGCAACAATATCATTCATGTTTCTTATAGCAGTAGTACAGCACACTGTTTTGCACTCGAAACTGTTAACACAAGGGCCTACGTTTTTTTTTTTTTTTTTTTTGTTTATTATTTGTGCTGTATTCATGGATTTGATAAGATCACTCTCAATCTTGGTACATGACAAGTTTACCAAGCTAAGTATGGGTTCCTCGGTGGCAATTCCCAAACTTTTTGACAAGTAATTTGTCAAGTCCATTCACTACTCAAATCATCACTGATTTGTTGTTACTTCTGCTTCAAAGTATTCTACATGGCCACAGTGTTCAGGTTCTGATCATTAATAAAACGGTGAGATGACTCTGCACATCATCGTACTACTGAAACAAGATGTTGGTGTGCAACAAAGTTATACTGCTGTAATGTTGTTGTAATCCATCGTGCAAACACACATGCTAGGTATTTTAAGTTCTTGAGCAATTTCAGTGATAAAATAATATGTGAAGTCGCTACTAATTATTAAGTTAGGCTTATCGTTACTTACGTGTAAAACTTGTATATGGACTCTTATGAATTTGTAAATTACATTGTTTTGGGGCTATGAGAGGTCATCATTTTCTGGTTTGACTCCAGTGCTTTAAGTTTATCTGTTTAGCATGTCATGTTGACTGATGAATTCTGCAACGAGTCCATCCCATTTGATTCTAGGTTATAGACAATGGCTTTCATTCTATGATAGACTGTATAGAAAGCCCGATAATATGCATGGATTTCGTTTCTCCTATTACATTGAGCTTACTTCAATAATCAAAATGAATTCAGTATTCATTGGCCAAAGCTGTCGCTTTGTTCATAACAACTTATATCGTCGGCAGTCCTTTACGAGCGAAGACGACGTCTCCTAGGGTGAATGTGTTCTCATGTGATTGAATAGCCCAATTCGAGATTTACATTGTTTGAAACACCTCTGGCAGACAGTGTTCAAAGGAAGATGTCGTCGCAAAGAAGGGTTGGCTACTTCTTCTTTCCTCTTCTGTTGTTTCTGTTTCTTGTTTTCTCGTCGATCAGTTTCGAATGCTTCGTCACATGATTGATTAGACGACGGCAACGGGAACGGTCAGATGCATCCTCCTCCCATATCCAGGTCCCACAGTCCTGTCCCTGTTACCACTTCCCTATCACCGCGGGACATGTTTATGGCCCAAAAGAAGCCTGTGCGTGACGTCTTTTACAATGGGGATAGCGGGCACAGACGCTAACCACACTACTTTGGCAGGTCAGTACCGGTGTACAAATGGCATGGACAACCAAGAACAACTTATATAATACAAGATCAAACAAAGTTCAGGCAACAGAAGTATCCATCGAAAACAAAAATTCAGATTCGCATATTTTCAAAGGCATGTACAAAGTTATGGTCATTCCTGAATTAATCAGACTGGCTATCAATATAGGATCCACCAGTTTAAACTAATTGGAGCAGCAGCCAGAAATTTTTCTTAACCCTCCTGTTGTTCGTTGGCAGTAAGTAAGTTAAAAAGAAAACAGATAAATTATGATAAAACAACGAACCCATGTGGCCGTACCTATCGGTCAATCTAGTACACATTTTGTATATATAAAAGGAATGGGCCCCCCAATGGCACAGCGGTATGTCTGCGAACTCACAACGCTAGAATCCGGTTTTCGATACCCGTGGTGGGCAGAGCACAGATAGCCCATTGTGTAGCTTTGTGCTTTACTTCAAATAGGCCCGGCATGGCCAGGTGGTTAGGGCGCTCGACTCGCAATCTGAGAGTCGCGGGTTCGAATCCCCGTCACACCAAACATGCTCGCCCTTTCAGTCGTGAGGACGTTATATATGTGACGGTCAATTCCACTATTCGTTGGTAAAAGAGTAGCCCAAGAGTTGGCGGTGGATGGTGATGACTAGCTGCCTTCCCTCTAGTCTTACGCTGCTAAATTAGGGACGGCTAGCGCAGATAGCCCTCGTGTAGCTTTGCGCGAAATTCAAAAAACAAACAAACAAACAAATAATAAAAGGAATGAACAATGATTAACAGAAAATATTATTGCATGATCGTATTTTTTACAGATTGCTTTCTAATTTTTATAGCTGTTTAGTCATCACATAATCATTTTGTACTTTTATTAGACCCCAAAGTACTTTAGATTTTATGTGAACGTAAACATTAATTTAATAAAATTAATTTATCTGAAATTTAAAAACATTTTTTGATAGAGGGAGCTTTGGCAAAGGACTCACTTTAGTTGCTGTTCGTATTCGACTTGTGTAATATCAGTAACTAATTCTACAAGTTTCTAATTTTATTTTTAAGGATTATATTAAAATGAATATTCGATGCGCGAAGGTAATTTGCATCTTGTATTATTGTTTTGTCTATGTTATATTTATGACTGTATGCTAATAATGTAATGAGACTTAGAGACTATTATTTTACTTTAAAATTTAAACGAAGCACCTATTTACTCCGATGAGACAGTGGCAATTAAATTTTAAAACTAAAACTACGATAACGCTGCAGACACCGACAACAGTAAATTTAACTACAGCCTACAAGGGGAAATCCCAAGCACCTCGCAACAGTAATGCCACGCACGTCCTAAATAACTCTATGCTTGACAAATGTAGTAGTACATCATCACATAAACATTTTTAGTTTTACCATAGCTAATAACCTACATTTATTACAAGTTACAACTGCATGATATCAGTTAATATATCTACGACCATAGTGTACACAATCACACTGTAGCATGTATAGTTAAGCTGTGATGAATTGATTAATTCATCTGAGTACTTTTTACAATTTTGCAATTATGCTTTTTTATACTATGGTCTTTGCCAGTCTAGCTGTTAAAGATGCAAAACAATTTACCAAAAGAAGAAAAGGCTGTCTTCAATGTGTATCTCTCAATATTCTTCCTTGCTACTGCTACTAGAATCAATCAGCTCATGATTACTAACATCGTCAATTTAGTGATAAATCAATTGAACTACTGATGTCCGTGTCAATAGCTTTTCTATAGCAGTGACTTCCACCAGTGGGTTGAAGTAGTAAGTTAGTGGCTTTTATTGCCATCTTTCTGTTGGTGCCAATAGCAAAAGCCAAACTTGAATTAGTTAACAATTGAGTTATTCTTATTATAGATAAAAGTATTTAGTCTTTTTTTTTTTTTAGGCTATTTAGAGTTGCAGCTTATGCAGTGCATGTGCTGTAGCTAGTACTATAGTGGTGATAACCT